TTGGGATGAGAGTGTCGGAGACAGTGCAATTGGCATAGGACAGAGCAGAGTTTAGGGCTGTTGTACATAGGGTCGCTATGAGTCGCAAGCGACTCAATGGCACATAACAACAACAACACATCTGTGTAAGGAATCATTGGAAAAGCTCAATATCAACAGGCAAAAACAGAGCAGGTGCAGACTGTGAGGTAAACCATCAATTACTTATGTGCAAATTCAAATTGAAGTCAAAGAAAAAAATTTTTTATTTTTTTATTTCCATTCATTCATTGTTGCACTTTTCTCCCCTCCCACCCCACCACCACCCCAGTAAACTACGCCCTTGCAAAAGTAAAAGAAAAAATTGTTTTCATTGTTTTACAATCTCTCCTCCCAGGTTCACTCCACTATGCAGCCTTTGTTCTGGCCTCCAGTCATGATAAAAATACCTAATCACATATGCCTTTTAAACAGTTTTCTCCTCAATCTGTTTCAATGCAGTATACACTATTTAACCCATCTTTCTCAGTCTCTCCCCAACCTCAATGTCAGTCCTGTTTTACAACAGTGGCACCATGCAGTATTTGTCCTTTTGTAACTGAACTGCTTCACTCAGCATAATGTCTTCCAGAGTCACCCATTTTGAATAATATTGCATGAGTTCCTTGTTCTTCAGTGCAGTGTAGTATTCCATTATGTGAATATACCACAGCGTCTCTATCCTTTCATTTGTTGATGGGCACCTAGGTTGTTTCCAAATCCTTGCTATTGTGGACAAAGCCGTGATATTCATGAGTGTGCATATATCTGCTTGGATGTCAGTTATGGTCTTTTTTGGATATATTCCCAGTAGTGGAATTACTGGGTCAAATAGTCAATGAAAATTTTTAAAAGTCCACAGGAACCAAAATATGATGTTGAGTTTATCCCATCTGAATTTTAAAACTATCTTAAGGATAGGTTTGAAGCATTGAACACCAGTGATTGAACACCAACGGATGAGTTGTGGGATGACAGCAAGGATATCACCTATGAATACAGCAAAAAGGTCATTAAAAAGACAGAGGAAAAAGAGAAAAAATCAAAATGGATGTCAGATAAGGCTCTGAAAATTGTGCTAGACCATCAAGAAGTCAAAACAAAGAAAAAAAACATGCTGAAATAAAAGAGGTGAACAGAGAATTTCAAAAGCCATCTCGAGAAGACAAGGCAAAGTGTTATAATGAAATGTACAGAGAGCTGGAATTGGAAAATAAAAATGGAAGCACTCATTCAGCATTTTTCAAGCTCAAAGATGTGAAAAAATTCAAGCCTAGAGTTGCAATACTGAGAGATGCTATGGGCAAAATCTTGAATGTCGTAAAAAGCATAAAAAAAGAGGAATACTCAGGGACTCATCTTGAATGAAAAAAGGGAATATACAATCATCATACCAAAAAGTTTGCTAACACTGAAAAATTTTAAGAAGTTCCATATGAAGAAGAGCCAGTGGTAATAAAGAAGACATTGAAGCTATAATGAAACATTGGCAAATAAATAAATAAGGCCCCAGAAATCTATGGGATACCAATTAGTATGTTTCAACTAACAAATGAAGCCCTAGATATGCTTACCCAAGAAAAGGCAGGCAGAGACCCTACCAAACTTGCTGCAAAGATTTTACTTCCGACAAGTACCGTGAGGCTAACCAAACACCTAACATGCAAAACCCCACATGCACTCAGCCATGCTTTAAGAAATCCCAGCAGCAACTGGTGGACTTCACCATGAACACTGTGACAGGAAACACACAAACAGCCCACAGAACATTAGTAATTGGCATCATGAGAATATTGAGGAGCAACCATGTCAGTCTGGAAACTAAGGTGTGCCTGATACATGGTCTTTGCCTTTACTTGCTATGCATCAGGGAACTGGACAATGACTAGGGATGATAGAAGGAGAATTGATGATGCCTTTGAGCTTTCGTGCTGGAGAAGATTATTGAGTATTACATGGACTGCTAGGAGAACAAACAAGTTCTTCCTAGAGAAGGTGAAATCAGGCTGCTCCTTGGAGGCAATGATTCTGAAGCTCCGTCTGACATACTTTGGATATGTTGCAAGGCAGGATCAATCCTTGGAGAGGGATGTCATGCTTAGGAGGGTGGAGGGACAGGACAGGAGAGGAAGACCCTGAATGAGGTGGATTGATTCCACACTGAGGTAATTGGGATATGTGTGTCAGAAACAATAAGATTGGCAAGACATAGAGTAGGTTCAGGGCTATTGTCCATAGGATCACTACGAGTCGCAAATGACTTGACCGCACATAACAACAACATATAACATGGGAGAGTCTAGAGCACATTCCTGTGAAATAACTCAGTCCCATAAGAACTAATACTGCATAAGACCAGTATTATCTAAATAGAAGGATAACTGATTAAGATGTATATGAATGTCCAAAAGAGAAAGGAGAATGGGTGAAGGGAGCAGAAAAGGGGGAAGAATGAAAAACATTAGGATAGCAGAGAAGAAATAGATGCAATGAAGGCTTGAAAAAGCAGGGTAATAATAGGCATAGGTCAATAGTAATTATATAAAGTACAATGTATAGATGGATGGCAGTATGAAACACAATGAAAGTGAAAGATTGTGTAAAACTCAACAAACATGAATGAAACACAAGACATACAAATTATATGGGAACTAATAAAATAAGAACTTTTTGCAACCATTTTGAAGATGCCATCATCACTTCTAAGGAGCAGTTTGATTATACTTCTTCCATTTGTTTTTGACAGCTCATGAGATGTTTAAAATTCAATAGCTTCAATATTTTCTATATTTATCATGATGCTATTTATTGATCCAATTGTGAAGATTTATGTTTTCTTTCTGTTGAAGTACAATCCATACTGAATTCTGTAGTCTTTGCTCTTCATTAGTAAATGCTCTATATTTTCTTTTCTTTCAGGAAGCAAAGATATGACTGTTAATAAGTCTTTTTCCAATTCTTTTGCCATATTTTTCTTCAAATTGTTCAACTTCTCAAGTTTTTAACTCCACGTACAGATTGAATAAGCAGGGTGAAATGAGACAACTATGACACACAGCTCCTCTGATTTAAACCACACAGTATCCCCTTATTAACATCACGTTTTATAGACTTTGCTAGTCAGAGTCCAATAGGAAGACGTACACCAGACATTTTAAGGGAGAAAATTTATTACGAAAATATAACATAAAATACATGTTTCTCTAGTGCATACACATCATTCTCCAATATATATCTTGGGGTACAAAGCAAGTTATCAATAAATTTTAAAACATTTAAGTCTTACAAAGTCTCTTTTCTGATTATTACAAAATGGAACTATAACTTAATAATAGAAAACTTTTGATAACTAGTGATAGTTATAGAAAGTCTTCAGGCTATTTGTTCATAAGCTCAACTCAATGGCAATCAACAACAGCAATAGAAAACTAGAATAGAAAAAACAAATGAAAGTTTAACATACAACAAAATAAATAATGGGTAAAAAATTGTTAAGTATTGAGAGATTATTAACTACTAACTGAGGCAAAACAGAGCTTAAAAGAATGTAGAAATAGCAGATCTAGAGAGGAGCTTCTACTTTTAGAGCTGAGGCAGAAGATTCACTGTAAGAAGACATTTCAAAGAGGACACTCTTAGAAAAAGTCATTCAGACCCATTGAATAAAGAAGAAATGAGTCCTTTTGGATAATGAAAAAGATGCTTACATCCCGCCAGGCCAAGACAGGTGCCAGGAAAATGACCAGTGGGGTACATGAGACACTCTACAAAGCTTCCATATGCAGTATTTGACACACATTTTCATTTTTATGCAGCAAATAATATTCTTTCTTTTCGCCTCTCAATACAAAGCCGTCCTTACACATCAAGAAGTTTCCACTTTTTTCCCAAGAAAGTTTCAGTGATTATTACCATCACTTCTACATTATTTACTCCTTAAATTCATCAATACTTCCACTGAATAGTCTATTATTTTCTCTTTGATGAACAAAACCTCCAATAAATCAAAGAGTGCAGTGAATTTGGTGATGCTTTATCTCACTTAATTTGGTCATATCAAGAAAAACCAGTCCTTGGAGAAAGACATCATGCTGGGAAACTGAGAGAGTCAGTGAAAGGGAGGCCGACCCTCAATAAAATGGATTTGCTCATTGACTGTCACGATAGGCTGTAGTAAGACAAAGATGGTGAAAACAGTGCAGGATAGAGCAACATTCAAATCTGTGTGTTCATCACTATACTATGGCATTGACTTAACAACAACAGCTAACAACAAAAACATTCCATATAAAAATACTACTAAATATTAGAATGAATTTTTCATTACCAAATTCAAACGACCACCTATTACCATATTCTACGTGCGTTCAACTAGCACACCATTTTAAAAGTCCAATCTGATTCTTTCTCTAAGTGCACGAGATGTGAATTCTTAGGTAAATATCATCTTCCATGAATCTGATTCCAAAAGCATAACATATGACTTTTGGTGCCATCCAGCGCTCACTTCAGTCTTTCCTCTCAGGAAGCCTGGAGCTCCAGAGGAAAAGCCATAGTAAGAAGGTAGGGACAAAGATGGCTTTCTATGGGGACACAGCCGTGCAGTGATGAAGTAATGGTGCTTTGGCCTCTAGAAGAAAACTGTCATTACAAGAACTAGAACACAATTCTTTTCTTGGGGGCCTCAGCAACTCAGTGACAGATGATTTGTTAAGAAATACAGGGACCTCTTTGGGCTCATTTGCCATGGAGCAGTAGGTCAGAGATATGTCTCCTAACTGAAGCATGGCATATGGGAAAAGAGTCTCAGAGAAGAAATTCACAGAGAAGGAGAAAATGTGGGATCCATCAGTCATGTTGTAGAAAGAAATATCCCCTTTATCATAGTCTAGAAACACCCCTACCCGACAGGGAACCTGTCTAAGAGTTAGCCAGGTCTTGGGATTAGTACAAGCATAACATCCATCAGAAAAAAATCTCACAGCCCAGAATCTGTTTTCTGAATTCTCTTTGAACCAGTCTCTTCTATCTACATTTTCTCTACAGACTCCCACAGCCCACTCGCTTTTCTCTCCATTACTGACTTGTACCTCCCAGTAGCATCGACCTGAACTGATGCCCTCACAACCCAGTACAGCGCATTTGTCATAGTACAGAGTCTCACAGATGTCCTTCCGTCTCAGGCTTGTGTTATTCTGAGAAATAACAAGGTTGGCAGGGGCAGAATGTGGATCCAGAGTGACAAACCCTGTAAAGAGAATTACCAAATAATTCAAGACTCTACCCTAAGTCATAATAAGGGCCTCAAACCATTTTTCTCAAAAAAATTTTAGTGGCATGGAAATAGGACTAAACACTTTGAACTGAGAGAGCTAGTGCTTTGAAGTTCACAGTCTTCCAACAAGCAGAAAGTAGAAGATTTCTTTTGGGTTAGATCCATCACAGTGCTTTGGAGGGTCCATCTGGATCAAGGGGCTCAATGCTATCTATAAAACAGTCAATATTAGCTCCATCTACCCACCACTATTAATGATGCTTCCATTTTTACTGTGAACTGAAGAAGCAGTATGAAGCCATGGGATAAGCAAAAGGAACACTGGTAAAGAACCTGAAGTCACTTACAGGCCTGGAACTGCTCTCTCCGCCAATCTGCAAGAGAACCACACATTTCATGTCAATTAATCACAGAATGTACACATAAGGATCAGCACAAACATTATGGAGGAGAAATGCTTTCAAAACAATGGATTGTTGCATTTCTTTCTCTCTAACCCTAATATATCCACAATTGTCAGCTTCTCATGAAGGCTAAACTATAATATTTAATTCTCAAAAATTGAGAGTCTAGAGTTCTAGCTGGGGGAAAAATAAAAGTCATTATTCATATTTTCTTTTCAAACTAAACTTTCTCCCCACCTAGCCAAACAATGAGGTTTAAAACTGTTGTTGTTGTTGTTGTTGTTGTTGTTACGTGCCATCGAGTCGCTTGCAACTCATAGCGACCCTATGTACAACAGCCTTAAACTCTGTTCTGTCCTGTGCCAATCTCATTGTCTCCAACACTCATCCCAATTACCCTAGTCACCGAATCAATCCACCTCATAGAGGGCCTTCCTCTCCTGCGCCTGCCCTCCAACCTCCCAAGCATGATGTCCTTCTTCAAGGACCAGTCTCTCCTTACAACATGACCAAAGTATCTCATCTCAGATGAAGCCTCAGAATCCTTGCCTGCAAGGAGCAGCCCGGTTTAACCCTCTCCAAGATGAATCTGTTTGCTTTCCTAGCAGTCCATGATACCCTCAATACTCTTCTCCAACACCAAAGCTCCAAGGCATCAATTCTCCTATCCTCCTTAGTCATTATCCAACTCTCTGACACATAACAAGTGATTGCAAAGACCATGGCCTGTATCAGATGAACCTTAGTCTCAAGAGAGATATCTTTGCTCTTCAGTACTTTGGAGAGGTCCCTAACAGCAGACTTTCCCATTGCAATACATCATTTAATTTCCTGGCTGCTGGTGCCAAGAGTGTTGACTGTAGGGCCAAGTAAGCTAAAGTGGTGAACAATCTCAATCTCTTCACCATCCATCCTGATGCTGCCAATTGGCCCAGTGATGAGAATCTTTGTTTTCTTGACATTGAGCTTCAGTCCATATTGAAGGCTTCAGTCCTTGACCCTCTGCAGCAAGCACTTCAGGTCCTCCTCAGTTTCAGCATGCAGGGTTGTATCATCTGCATAACGCAGATTGTTGATAGATCTTCCACCAATCTTGACCCCATATTTCTCCTCATAGAGCCCAGCCTCTTGGATAATCTGCTCTGCATACAGGTTGAAAAGGTATGGAGACAGGACACATCCCTGGTGTACGCCCTTCCCTATTTTGAACCATGGAGTGTTTCCTTGCTCTGTTCTGATGACTGCCTCTTGGTTCAAGTATGGGTTTCACATTAGCACAATCAAGTGTTCTGGGTTTAAAACTAGGCTTGTTAAAAAGAACTGGGGAGATCAAATTTTTCAAAGTTCCCACTTCCTTATCAAAAGCTGATTTGCCTGCACTTTAAGATATTACTAAAGAGTGGATAGTAGTTGTTGTTAGGTACTGTTGTATGATCCACAGTGACCCTACTAAAATAAAAACAGATCTGAACTCTGTGCCATCCTTATAATTTCTGTCATACTTGAGCACATTGCAGTAGTGAGTGTCAATCCATCTGGTTCAGGGTCTTCCTCTCTTTTGCCGACCCTCCATATTCACAAGCATGATGTTCCTGTACGAGGAATAGCCTCTCCTCAAAACATGTCCAAAGTTTGTGAGATTTCTTTGCCTCTAAGGAGCACAATGACTGCACTATCTCCAAGACATATGTGTTTGTTCTTTTGACAGTCCATGGAATATTCAGTACTCTTCTCCAACACCACAGCTCAAAGGTATCATATTTTCTTCTGTCATCCTTATTCATTATCCAGCTCTCAGATGTATAGCAAGTGATTTAAAAGACCTGAATCAGGTGCACCTTAGTCTTCAAACTGATGTAATTGTTGCTCAAAAATTTGGAGGGTCTCTGACTGTGGACTTTCCAAGTGAATTAAAAAATTATAATTGCTGAGCTGAATTTACAGACTGGTTGTAGACCATCTGTGAAAAGACTTCATAATTCAGAAGAAATTGACTCAAGTTAATGTGAACTATAGAGATTTATAGAAAGGGAGAAAATAGATGTTCAAAGCAGAACATCAGAAATTAGTGACTTGTCTTTCTGTTTTCATACGTCAATGAATGTAAATCCATTCATATATTCATGAAATAACAAAAAAAAATATTGGTTCTAGTCACCTGTTCCTAGCAATAGTAGCACAGAGCATTTCAAACTTCAGGATGAACCTCTTTGTGGCAGACAGAATATTGGCCCTCAAATGTATAGATCCTAAGCTTCAGAGTCTGTAAATGTGTTACTATACATGGAAAAAATGAAACTCATAAATTCAAGTGTAATATTAAGAACCTTGAAATGGGGAGATCACCCTGAATTAGAAGTTCATGTTTAAGATGAGAAAACCAAGGCAAGTCTTCAAGAGCCAAAATAGAACTCTAAAAATATACAAACATCACTATGATAAACAGATAATATTGAAATTGCCAATTATTTCATTTCACTTGGATCTACAACCAATGCCCATAGAAGCAGCAGTCAAGAAATCAAACAATAAGTCTCTCTCAGGGAGGAGTGATAGGGAATGGCAAAGGACACACTGACAAAGGAGATTAATCAGAACTGGCTTTGACAAGCACTGTGGCAATTGGACAATTAAAACAGACATTCGGGGGGGGGAGAAGAACGAACTGGGGAGGAGGATAGAGAAAACAGTGCAATAATGAATGAATGAGAACCCAAAATCTCTGTAAATGTTCCTTAAAACTAATAAAATTTAATAATAAAAAAAAAGAAATCAAACAATGAAGTGCAGTGGGCAAATATGCTCCAGAAGGCCTCTTTAAATTGCTAAAGGATGAGGGAGTTCCTATGACAACTAAGGTACACTCACCCAAGCTATAATATTTTCATTCACCTCATATAAAAGTTGGACATTTTTCCAGTGACATGACTCTACCAATGATAAATCAGTTGAGCGGATTTTCGTAAGACCAAGCTGAGGGTTTCTATATGCGTTAAAACTATACTATGTCACCTTTCCTCTAAGCTGGAAAATTCCTGAGATGATTTGCAAGCTTAAATCTCAACTCTTTTGCTGGTAACCTGTAAGGCGTTTTGCTCAGCCTACCTTTTGATTTGAAGAGGAAATAAAGGCCTACCATAAAAAAAAAAAAACCATTTAAAAAGCATGTCAGGATTGGCATACAATTGTTTCTAAATAAAGTCTTTTCCCTATCTTGAAGGGGGAAAATGTTGGAAAATAAGTAAAGAAAACCAGAACAGAACTGATGCCTTTGATTTGTGGTATTAATGAAGAATATAGAGTATACAATACATTTCCAAAAGAATAAACAAATCTGTTTTAGAAGAAGTTAGATATAACTCTCTCAGAAGTGAGGATGGTTAGATAATGTCTCACGTGCTTTGGGCACGTTATTGGGGGAAGGAGAAATGTTTCTGGAGAAAATAATAATGCCTGGTAAAGTAGAGAGTCAAAGAGGAAGAGGAAGACATTAAACAAACACAGTGGCTGCAACAGTGAATTCAATCACATGCTTTACTCTTGGTTCATTAATTCTAGACATGTACAGAATTTGTCATACATTTTCAAGTAGTTCTCATATACACAACTAAGATTAATAATACTTATTCTAAAGGGAATCCCAGAACACTTGATCGTTCTAATGTGAAACCTACACTTGGACCAGAAGGCAGCCATCAGAACAGAGCATGGGAACACTACATGGTTCAAAATTGGGAAGGGTGTACACAAGGGATGCATCCTA